TTTAGGAGGTTGGGCTTCCTCCTGACAAACCTGCACCCAATTTGAAATCTTCTGCCCCCGTGTACTCCAAGATGGAGACTCTCATAGTTTAGAGTTAGGACCGCACTATAAGAGGTGCCTTGGCACGGCTGTGCGGCTTTCACATTTTCTGCAGAAGACGTGTATCCAAACCTCTGTTATTAACCTTAGTGGTGAGACAAGTTGTTTTACATGCTGGTTTGTGAGTGTGCCATGATACCCTTCTACTGTTTACTGTTCAAAGACAATTTCGTGTGCACCTTACTGTATAGCTGGTGACAAATTGTTGAGTGTGTTTGTCATTTGTTTTGCTAGACTCTCCAACCTAACACCACCCAAACTCCAAAACGTTAAATAACAAATGATGGCGGTTGAACCTTACTTACCGATCGTCTGAATTATGGCATTCTGCACGATGCGCTCGTCGCTCTCTTTGGTCGCACTGGACCTGGCACTACCCGCTGAACTTCTTCGGTCCCCCAATTCAAAGTCCACGCTAAGAGTCAGATGTCTTAACAGTGTGTTAAAAACCTCCAGCACTGTCGGGCCTGGTGAAAACAGTATTTAGCTTCAAATGTAATATTTAACTAGCGCTGTGTGAAATGGAATCACTACATTTTGTAATAAAAACATAAAATAATCTACAATCTTACCAAAGGGTGTTTAAGAAACCGTTAATTCATGAGCCATATTCAATTATGTGTGCTACTAATTAAGTGCAGTAACCTACAGAAACCAATTGGAACGCCGTTAATATAATTTTGACTGGCTGCTATAGATAGGACCGATTAGTACTTACAGTAGACCTGTGGTCAAAGTTTTAACAAATGTGCAATATGAACTTTATATGCTTCCTTTACATCACTGCAAAGTGACCTGTTGATCCTACCAGCCAAGTCCATAGACTGCAAATTCCTTTGATGAGAACATTACCCCACCACTAGTGAATTCATGACAGTGTTGTCACCCTTACTTTGTATGTACCCATCAGGACTAAAGCAGGACGTGCCACTGTAGAATGGAGTGTGACTTCAATTTTCAAATCTCATTGGGCTCGCTGAAAAGAATGGTCTCGTGGACCTGAATTTAAAAACTTTCCATCTTATAGGAAACATCCAGAAATGTTAATTGAGCCCAATCTGTTCCCTGACAAATGTACCTTTTGCCTTTTATTCCTCCTGGGAAGTAATAGTAGTGCATTTCCTGTGCCTAGGTACTCCTGTGCATGAACCCCATAGCTGTATATCTGCAGTGTGAGATCTATAGGCACTGCTGCCTTTCACTGCTAGTCTCAGGAGATCTGGAGTGAGCTTTGGTGAGGTCTAAGGCACTGCTGCCTCCGACTGCTAGTCTCAGGAGATCTGGAGTGAGCTTTGGTGAGGTCTAAGGCACTGCTGCCTCCGACTGCTAGTCTCAGGAGATCTGGAGTGAGCTTTGGTGAGGTCTAAGGCACTGCTGCCTCCGACTGCTAGTCTCAGGAGATCAGGAGTGAGCTTTGGTGAGGTCACTGTTCTCCTTGCTGGAGAAGAAGCTGTGTCTGAGGACCTGCAATCGAGGGATCTCCCTGCTTCTTCATTCATTCATTCTGGGGATCTGTGATTTTCTCGTCTCTCCTGCTGCTTCTTGAATATTCCCCTAGCAGCTAACAGATCACTAGTCACCAGCGGGGCAGCTCTGACACATTGAAGCAAAGCCTTGCTTCTGCCAAGATGGCTCCACGCAGAGACACGGTGCAGAACAAGGCATGGAAAGTCAGTAATGGGGAAAAGATCAGCTGCAGGGAGACCACAAGCAATACTGGTGACTAGTCTTCCACTGTGCTTCCCTTTTTTGGGAACAGCTTCCAGAGTTTAGTTTCTATTAAACACGTTTATAAAAGCATTCACCTATATACTAAATATGAAGAACAAATTTCAATATCTTAAGACTGACTGACTCCCTCACCCAATAAAACCTCCAGTAGTGTTTTCCGCTATATTTTTATATAAAGACACAGGCGCTCTTTTAACCTCTTGCCATCCGCCCGTTAAGAAAAAAACGGACGGACGGCTGACTCCTATCTGCGGGTTGCCGTCGTCAGACGGCATTTTTTTCCTGCTCGCGCGCGCCCCCTAGCGC